GGAGGGAGGGACCGGGGAAGACCAGACACAAGGACTCGCGAGGCCATGCCTCTGAGCCGAAGCAGAGAGGGGTGGCCAAGGCGGTGGTGCCAGAGGAGGGTCTCGTGAGACAGACGACGACACGAACAGGGGGCAGACTCAGGACCAGACCTGGACGCTGCAGCAAACACCTGACCAGACGAAGGGACCCTACCAGACGCAGTACCTGGAGGAGAAGCAGTGGTCAGTGTGTACAGGCTCGACCCTGGCCGACGTGTAAACGTAGCCAGGTGGCGACCTGTATCCGCCTCCGTGCAGTGGGTCACCCGCTGACGAGCAGGGGTGAACTGGTGGACACCCGCATCCTGGAGGTCAGCACCACTCACCAAGTTCGTCGAGAACGAGGGGAGGTAGAGACAAGTCAGGGTGCCAGAGGGGGCAGCCGGACACGGGAGGACAGTGGAGAAGCGAGACAGGACAGGCCCCCCAGAGGGGTCAGCCATGGACACCGCAACAGGCCGACTCAGCGGCGTGAGAGTGGTGCGGTCCCTAAAGAAGGAGCGAGACGCCCCAGAGTCAAGGGTGAAGGTGTGAGAGGCCGAAGCCGACACAGTACCTGAGAGGGCGGACTCACCAGTACCTGAGAGCACAGACGCACTGGCACCTAGAGCAGCAGCCTCACAAGTACCTGACGCGGCAGTACCAATGCCCGAGTCGGGCGGGAAACACCGGTAACAGTCATCCTCATCACTACCAGTCACAGCATACATAGCAGAGAGAATAGCATCAAAGTCAAGATCATAAATAGCTACACCAGCCCTAGACAGCTCTCCCCAGCGGGGGATCTCAGCGGCCTCCGGAAACTGCTGACGCCAGGCGTCGGTGAGGCGGCCAAAGCAGCGACGGGCTGTGTGGGCGCCTCCACACCTCTCCCCTGCACGGTCACCAGTGCGAAGAACGTAGGGGCAGGGACCAAGCGCACCACCGCGCTGACGCTGCAAGTACCACTCACGGAGCTGCTGAGGGCCGGGGACGGTGCGAGAGCGCTGCTGCTGCTGCGGCTGCTGCTGCGGCTGCTGCTGCTGCTGCTGCTGGCGCTGACCACCCCCAGAGCTGCTCCGCTGGGACGAGCCACTCCGACCCCCGCCTCCACCGCCACCCCCGCCTCCACCGCCACCCCCGTCTCCACCGCCACCTCCCCCACCAGGACCGTCGCCCCCACCGCTCCCACCGCCTCCTCCGCTACCACCTCCGCCGCCACCTCCGCCTCCACCGCCGCCACCAGTACCTCCACTCCCGCCACCACCCCCACCGCCACCCCCACTCCCCCCTCCACCCCCACCGCCTCCTCCACCGCCCCCTCTAGCTCCACCCGCTCCCTTGCCCCCGTTGCCCTTGCCAGAGCGGCGTCTGCCGCTGGGGGCAGACGCCGCGCCGACCGACTCAAAACCAGCGAGGTCGGCCGCAGCGGCAGAGGCGACAGAGGGCAGCAGGGGGGAAGGACCACACCCCTCAAAGATGGGGGTGCGAGGGTCACCCCGAGAGGCCCCTACAGCGACTATACTCTTCTCAGCCGCTAGCAGGGACTCCTCAAGGAGGTCGACAGTGAGAGTGGTGGGACAGACAGAGAGAAACTGGTCCCTAACGACACGAAGGGACTCAGGGAGACGGGTGACGAGAAAGTAGAGAGTGATGTACATGGGAGGTGGGTAACGAGGTCAGCAGCAGTGGGAAAGGAAGCGAGGTCAGGGAAGAGAAACGGTAGCATGAGGCGGCTAAGGGTAGCGGAGGAAGGGGAGGAGTAGCGTGCAACTACAGCGTCGTACAAGGCCTGAGCGGTCTTGCACTGACTAAAGTGGGCACGCTCAGAGGAAGGGAGGTGGCGACGCACAGCAAGACGTGCAGCAGCATCGCGGGTCGCCCACTTGGAGCGAACGGCAGAGTCAGCATCAGCAGGCGGGGCAGGGACAGCGCCAGAGACAAAGTCAAAGAGAGAGACCTCATCTATCGCATCACACAGTAAGTACAGCTGCAGGTCTTCGATCCAGACGGCAAAGTCAATGGCCCTCCCCTCAGCGTCAAAAGTAAGAACATTGGGGGTGGCCATGGCAGCAGCTGAAAGTCTCACCGGGCTAGGAGAGTCGGGTAGGTCAGCAGCAGGCGGCTCGGGCTGGTGGGGCGGCTCGGGCGGCTCGGGCGGCTCGGGCGGATCGGGCGGCTGGGGCGGCTCGGGCGGCTCGGGTACCGGGCGGCTCGGCTGCTGCTGGGCGGCTCGGCTGCTGCTGGGCGGCTCGGCTGCTGCTGGGCGGCTCGGCTGCTGCTGGGCGGCTTGGCTGCTGCTGGGCGGCTCGGCTACTGCCGGGCGGCTCGGCTGCTGCTGGGCGGTCCGGCTGCTGCTGGGCGGCTCGGCTGCAGTGTAGTGGCGGGGCCGGGACAAGGGACGGCGGGGCCGTCAGGGTGCAGCGGCGGGGCCGGGACAGGGGACGGCGGGGCCGTCAGGGTGCAGCGGTGGGGCCGGGACAGGGGACGGCGGGGCCGTCAGGGTGCAGCGGCGGAGCCGGGACAGGTGCAGCGGCGGGCCGTCAGGGCGTAGCGGCGGGCCGTCAGGGAGCAGCGGCGGGGCCGGGATAGGGGACGGCGGGGCCGGGACAGGAGACGGCGGAGCCGGCAGAGGTGCAGCGGCGGGCCGCTGGGAGCACCCGCGACTGAGCCGGCGGCGGGGCCGCGTAGTAGCGGGCTGCGGGGCCGCGGCTGAGCAGGCGGCGGAGGCCGCGCCGTAGAGGGCGGCGGGGCCGCGGCTGAGCTGGCGGCGGAGGCCGCGTCGTAGCGGGCGGCGGGGCCGCGGTTGGAGAAGGCGGCGGGGCCGCGTCCGAGCAGGCGGTGGGGCCGCGTCGTAGTGGGGCCGCGAGGAGGTGGTGGGGCCGCGACTAGACGGCGGGGCCGCGAAGGAGAGGCGGGGCCGCGAAGGAGAGGCGGGGCCGCGAAGGAGAGGCGGGGCCGCTCGAAGGGTGGGCGGGACCGCTAGGAAGGGCGGCGGGGCTGCGTGAAGGGCAGCGGGGCCGCGTGGGGAAGGGCGACTCGGGGGGTCGCAAAAAAAAAAAACGATCGCGCGCCTCGGGGCGCGCTTCGGTGGGCCCTAGGCGAAGTTCCCACAGGGAACCCGCTCTATACCATGTGAAAGTAAGGAACAGGAATGATCAACTATGAAATGAAAACAGTACAAGTGCCAACCCTAATTGGGTTGTACCCCTTATGTGCTACCCCACTACAGCCTACAACATGTATAAGCTATAGTAATCTGACAGACCTCTCATCATCGACGCCGCACGTAGCAAGATCACCCGTGCCTGAGCGCGCTGCAGAGCCTCCCCTATGGCTGCTTCAAGTGACCCTAGCAGATAAGCAGAAAAAACCTTTCCCGTGGCCCTCGCCGCTCCCTTCGTCTTTGCTACTTCAATCTGTGCATCACCCTGTTTCTTATGCCATCGTCCAAAGCTCCCACCAAGACATCCCCAGGTCTCTGCAATGAGAGGCGTGAACTGCACTCACCTATGCCGCTGCAAAAGCAATTTGTAATCCGCTGCCTTCCGCTTTTCTCTCTCTCTAGTAGCGAAACCCACCTTGCGGCCGACCTGTCCGTGTTGCTGCGCTGACAAAGAGATAGGATCTACGATACTAACCTCCAGCACATGCTCCTCCCCCTCCCTCATTTTCCGAACCGCCACATCCACTTTCTTCCCTGGCAGCAACGTATCGTCCTTCATAGTCACCACTCCACCCACAGATTTAGCTATTTTCGCCACCGCGTCGTGAACCCGAGAAGGTGCATACTGATGCTTGCCGCGAAGGGCATGATCGGGATCTGAAGGATCAGCGAACTCGACCTCACAGGCGCAATTGCCGGCGACTATCAGCTGCACGATAGGGAGGCCTAGATGCATGGCCACACAAATGTTCCACTCTGGTGCGGTGAATATAGCCTCGTCATGCGACGGAACGGCAGAGACCCACGCCCCCGCCCCTGGGCCCTGAAGGGATGTCAAACGAGCCAAGGTGGCATCATCGTGGGCCATGCCCCGAAGAGACTGCAGGCTCTCGACCGCTAGGCAACGGTGTTGCATAGGGAAAAGCAGCAATGGGGGGTCAGGAGTGCACAAAGCATGTCACAGCATATGCACATAATGCATATGCCATAACAGTGGGGTGAGGTGAGGGTATTGGCAGGGCTCTAGGTTGCTAGCACAGAAAGAATAGCTGGATAATAATAAGACAGGATAGAAATATCTGAAGGTGTAGAATGTAGCAAGGTGACTGTTTAGAATGGGGTGTAGAAGGGGGGGGAACGGGATAAGAGCGGTTGAGATAAAAAGGGGGAAAAGACACCAAAGGGCGAAATGTGAAACCAGTCCATCCCAAACCCCGAGCCGCACATTTGGAAATGTGCTACCTGGGGTTGGGTAAGGGCTCTCACATCCAACCCCTCGATGCTTTTGCGATTGTAATTCTCTCGAACTAGTGAAATCTGCTATCTACGCTCTAGCGCACTGAGGCACATCACTAAGAGGGAACCTACGGGGTGAGGGATTGCGCTCTTTCATTACAATCGCAAAAGGGCGCCTTGAGTAGTAACGAGCGGAGTAGATATGGATAAGTAGGAATTGCGGTGGGGAAGGATGTTCAGCCGCCGGGAGGAGGAACGGCCGCGACGCGAGCCATCACGGGAACGAGGGCGGTCATTGGAGCGATCGCCTCGCCGCCCGGCCTTTCGCGCGGATCGCATCCCTCTCGCACGGGACCGTCGAGAAGAAGCATCGACGGATGTGGGAGCAGGCGCCAACGGGCACGGCGGCGGCATGGATAGAGACGCGTGGCTGCGAGAGAGAGCACACGGACATGGCGAGGACCGTGGAACCCGCCGCGACGCAGGAGTGTTCCGCTCTCCGGAAGAGCGAGAGCGGCGCCGGGATGAGAGAGGCCGTTGGCGAGGTTTCGGGGAACGTCCCCGAGGACGGGGAGGAGACATGGGGGGCGACGGCCAAGTGGGGATCCTGCAAGAGAACGCGGCACAGGACGTGGCAGCGGAGCCAGGCGCGGAAGAAGATGAGGAGCACCCGGGGCTGCAGGTTGAGGAGGCCGATGAAGGAAGTGACGGCGACGACCAGGCGGCAGGAACGGGTGAGGCTGGACCCGCGCAGGCAGACGAGAGCGCTGGCGCGAGCCAGGCGGCAGCCGAAGAATCAAGGGCCGCGCCGTGGGAAGCGCGCGACCGAGACGTCAGCCGTGGGGAAAAGCAGCGCGCGGAGGGCTCACTACGCCAGGAGCGAGCGACGCCAGACAACAGCGTTCGAGCTGCTCTGGCGCAGAGGCCGCAGCATGATGGCAAGGGGAAGGCAGAGCGGTCGCGCACGCCGGAGAAGGATCCGCACCATGGAGAGTGGCGCGTAGGCGACTTCCGCCCGTATGGCAGACGACAGGAGCAGGACGGCTGGAGCGGTGGCGGCGTGCGTTTGCCTGAACAGCAGCGCGCGCGGTGGCAGAGGGAAGGATGAGTCGCGCTCACCTGAGCCGCGCGGGCGCCAGGAAGGAAGGCACGGGGAGGGACGGAGGTCACAGGAGCACCGCGGTCAGCAGCACGGGGAACGCAGTGGCATGGGGCGCTCACCGGGTCGGCCAAGGCGGAGAGAAGAGAGGGAGGGTAGCGGGTCCCGCTCGCCCGAGTGGCGCCGCCCGCGGAGGGAGAAGTACGGAAAAGAAAGGCACTCGCCAGAGCGCCACCAGCAGCGCAGCAGGAGGGAAGGCACTTGGTCACCGTCACCAGAGAGGCGGCAGCAGCGCGATGTCAGGAGGTGGGAAGGGCAGAGGACGCACGACCCGCCCACGCAGCAATGGGGATGGGCGGAAGAGTGGGCAGGGCCGAAGGAAAGGCGCCGAGGGGCGGAATGGAGCCGCCAAGAGAGCAGAGCAGAGGGCGTGAGCCTGGTGTACGGCGCGGAACGGGCACGGGAGGCCAGAGAAGGCTTGCAAAGGGCAAAGGAGAGAGGAGCGGAGAGACGCTGGCAAAGGGGAGCCAGTGAGGCAAGGGGAGAGGGGCGAGGGGGTGCGCCCGGCACCCCGCGAGTGGAGGTGCCCGCCAGGTTTTCGGGAGATCAGCGCGCGGGGTCTACCCTCAAGAATTACCTGATGCAGGTGGGGAATGTGCGGTACCGCTGCGACAGGCACGATATGGACCCGGTGGACTTCTTCTTGAGCCTACCGAACACATTGGAGGGAAAGGCCGAGACCCTGTACCGCATGAGAATGGAGGAACTACTCCGGAGGGCAGGTAGGTACGGAGAAGACCCCACCGAGGCATTTCTGGAGAGACTGCAGCGGCAATTCCCAGGGCACACGGCGGAGCGCATAAGGGAATTCCAGGAATTTAGTAGGGGCCGGACGGAGTCACTGCTGACCTACTACAACAGATTTGATTAACGTGGCGGAAGACGTGAGATGCACGGACAGCAGCCTTCTCATCAGCAAGTTCTTAGGAGGCCTAGATGAGGCTCTTGGGGGGGGGTTGAGGATGAGAGTGTATGAGCTGGGCGCGGAGGCAAGCCTAGAAGAGGTGTTTGATCTGGCAGAAAGGGTGGAGCTAGCACAGAGGAAGTACGAGGCTTATCTGCCCAGGCCAACAGAGAGGAGCAGGAGGCCGACGTGGGCAGCGGCAATCATACCAGAGGGGGGAGGAAGAATAGAGGGGCGAGGGGAGACAGGACCTAACACCAGGACCTGTCACAGGTGTGGGCAGCCAGGACATCTACGCAGGGACTGCAAGAACTGTGACGGTTGCGGGAAGCCAGGGCATAGGAAACGGGAATGCCCAGATGCGGCCAGGTGTGAGATCTGCAAGAAACGAGGACACGAGGCAAAGGACTGCTACCAGAGGGAGGCAGGGCCTAAGAGGCACCCAGAGGAGCTGCAGCGGCAGATCAGCAGGCTACAGGCACAGCTGAGGGCAACAGGGCTAAGAGGGGAGGCCGAGGCAGGGATGTATGCCAGAGACGAAGAGGAGGAGGAGGTGGAGCAAGATGTGCAGTGTGCGCTCATGGCATGGAGAGGAAGAGAAGAGATGGGGCTGAGGAGCGGAGGGAATGATGGCAGGCGGGAGCAGGGAAGGAAAGAACAAACAAAGGGAGAACAGCCAGCCGAGCCGGCCCTGGAACGAGCCCCAGCACGCCATCCCCAAGAAAGGCTAGCATGTCAGACCTCGGTGCTGTTGCTAGAAAAGGGAGCAATGGAAGTGGAGGGAGAGAAGGTGAAGACTGCAATCATAGACACAGGAGCACAGAGTGTGATGCTAGGAAGGGGGATGGCTGAGAGGCTGGGGTTGCTGGCGCCAGAGAGGCATGTGGCAAAGGGGATGCTGGTAATGACGGCGGAGGGAGGGGAACCAAAGTGGATGCCATGCACCCGTACGCCCATAGAGGTGACGCTGCTGCCGGGGGGGGAGCATGAGACCAAGATCCGCATGAAGTGTGGGATTTCAGCGTCAGAGGACTTCGATGTGTTGGTGGGAACTGAGCTAGTGTTCGCGGTGGGAATGACCATATGCACTTGGACCGAGAAGGTCGAGTTTCGAACACGGTACTGGAAGAAGGAGGGGCCGTTGGGCGAGCTACCGGTGCGATTTGTGAAGGTGGAGCCCAAGAGAGCATACCAGGCCGTGGGTGAACAGCTGCCTGGGGAGCAGCAAGCAGAGGAGCAGGGAAGAACAACAGGGTCAGCAGCAGGACCCAGAATGAAGTGGATGAACGAGCCAAGGCAGCAGAGTGATTGGCAGCAGCCCATCCACCTGGTGGAGCTGTACGGGGGGATAGGTGCAGGCCTGTCAGCAGTGGTAAGGAGTGGAATAGCAGTGAGGAAGTGGACGTACGTGGAGAAGGAGCCGCAAGTGAGGAGGATGGCGGAGCACCATGCGCGGCAGCTACAAGCGGAGTTCCCAGAATTCCTGAGCGGGAAGGTGATTCAAGAAGCCATGGGTGGGAGTAGCCATGAAGTGCAGGAGATAGGAGAGGCAGAGGTGGCGAGCTGGGGGCAGGTGGATCTGCTGGTGGCAGGGTGGGAATGCCAAGGAGTGTCTTGGGCAGGCAAGGGGAAGGGAGGAGAGGATCCTAGGACAAGGTTGATGGAAGACCTGTTCCGCATCATGGAGTGGCTGCATGAGAGGCAGGGCAGGGTGGCATACTTGCTAGAAAACCTGGATCTGGAAGGAGACAGCAGGGAGCCGATCCGATTGGTGAGAGAGAGAATCCAGGGGCAGCTGGGGAAAGGGGTGAGCTGTGATGCGGCCAGGACCGGGTCCTATGCACACCGGATCAGGATGTATTGGCAGAATGTGGTCTCGGCCATGAAACTGCAGGAAGAGATGAATGGGGTGCAGCGAGCAATGGAAAGGAAGGTGCAGGACATCCTGGCACCAGGGCGGACCCCAACACCGGTGTGGCGCAAGAGCTACCACAGGCACTATCCTTGCAACCAAATAGGGCAGGAGAGACGAGCCCTGCCTACCCTGGTGGCGTACGCGGGAGCGGCAGGGTACAAGTGGGAAGCAGGGCAGCCGGGGCCGGGCATGGTGTATGATCACAGGAGATGGAAATGGGAGGAACCTACGGCACTAGAGCGGGAGCTGGCTATGGGGTATAGGGAAGATGCAACAGCAGCCCCAGGGGTGAGCGAGGCGGACAGAAGGAGGGCTTTGGGAAATGCAATGGATGGCCACGCGCTGAGGTGGCAGATCCAGCGGATGTGGCGAGAGACGGTCGTAAGCTGGGGGCACGAGGAAGGGGAGGGAGGGGTAGAGGCAGTGCCTCGGGGAGCATGGAGCTGCCAGGAGAAGGAGGAGGAAAAATGGGTGGTGGGAGAGGCGATGAGCAAGGAGGGGAAAGAAGCCATGCAGGAGCTGTTGGCCAGGCACAGGAAGTGCTTCGCCTTCACCATGCAAGAACTAGGGAGATGCAAGGTGAAAGAGATGGAGCTGAAGTTGAGCAGCACGGAACCAGTGTTTCACCGCCGGAGAAAGATGCCATACGGAGATGAGGAAATCTGCAAAGAAAAGATTAAGGAGCTGCTAGAAGCGGGACTGATTAGGAGGTCAGAATCAGAATATGCTACGCCCACGGTGGTAGCTGCCAGGCGGGACCTAACAGGGGAGGTGTTGAGTAGGAGGATGTGTGGGGACTACAGGGCACTCAACAAGATCACCATAGCGGACAGGTACCCAATGCCCATGGCGGAAGAAATATTTGACAAGCTAGCAGAGGGAGTGTTCTTCACGACGCTGGACCTGCGGCAAGGGTTCAACCAGATCAAGATAAGAGAGGAGGACATCAAGAAGACGGCCTTTCATGGGCCGGACGGGCTCTATGAGTGGCTGTACATGCCGTTTGGGCTGAGGAACGCCTCAGCTGTGTTCCAGAGGGTCATGGACAGCGTGCTGCGGGGAGTGGAATGCGCGGCCTGCTATATCGATGACGTGGTGATCTTCAGCACAACCGAGCAGCAGCACCTGCAGGATGTGGAAAGGACACCGGCAGCAATAGAGGCAGCGGGACTCACCTGCCACCCGAAGAAATGCAGATGGGGGGAACAGACAGTGCAATACCTGGGTTACGAGGTGAAAGGCGGGCAGATAGGGATACAACAGGCCAAGGTAGAGGTCCTGGATAGGCTGAGGGAGCCTAAGGACAGGTCAGGACTGAGAGCGGTGCTGGGATTCTTGAGCTACTATAGGCGGTTTGTGCCGAATTTCAGCAAGAGAGCGGCGGTCCTAAATGGGCTACTGCGGGAAGACAAGGCGTGGGAATGGGGAGAAGTTCAGAAGGGGGCACTGCAGGACTTAATGACCGCAATAAAGACAGCAACCGTGCTTAAGTTGCCTGCTGCTGATCACCCGTTCACACTCTACACCGACTGGAGCAGCCAAGGGATGGGAGGGATACTCTGCCAGGAGGTGAAGGGAGAGGAGAAGGTAGTGGCATATGCGAGTAGGAGCTGTAACTCGGCAGAAGCACAGTACAGCTCCTACATAGGGGAAGGATTGGCAGCCGTATGGGCTGTGGGGCACTTCAGGGTGTACCTGCAGGGGAGAGAGTTCACCTTGGTGACGGATCACCAGCCCCTGACGTGGCAGATGACAACACCGGGGTTGACCGGCAGGAATGCACGGTGGGCCATGAAGCTGCAGGAGTATGACTTCAAAATCAAGCACAGGCCGGGAAAGATATTGCAGCATGTGGACGGTCTCTCCCGGAACCCCCCACAGCAGGAGCCCACCGTGACCTTGACACTGCTGGCCAGGCTGGTGGAGATGAACGGGGCTAAGGGACAGAAGGGGCCAGCAGATATTTGGGAGGATGGACCAGCCATGCGGTGGGACAGGAGTTGACAGCCCGGGTGAGGGCAAGGGGACAGCACTACAGGTGGTATCAGCAGCAGTTGCAGGTGCAGAAAGAGGACGGATGGAAGCTGGTACCAGCGCCAAGCGAGAGGGAGGCAGTGATCAAGGAGGTACACACAAAGCTGGGACACTTTGGGCACGAGAGAACAGTGCAGCTGTTGAAAACAGGATGGTGGTGGGAAGGGATGCGAAAGCAAGTAAAGGGGTGGGTGGAAGGCTGTGAGGCATGCAAGAGGAGCAGGGCAAACCTTACACGAGCCAAGGCTGAGTTGCAGTCTCTTCCCATCCGAGGCCTAGGGTTCAGATGGTCCTTGGATCTGGCGGGGGAGCTGCCGCTAAGCCGGGGGGGGAAGCAGTACATTGTGCTTATGGTGGAGCACGTGAGGTAGTGGCTGGAAGTGAGGGCTATTCCGAGCAAGAGCTCTAGGCACGTGGCAGCAGCGTTCAAGGAGCAGGTGATATGCAGGTTCGGGGCATGTGCCGAGGTCCTCACAGACCAGGGTACCGAGTTCCGAGGGGAGTTCAAGAAGGTGCTGGAGGAGACAGGGATCACCCACAGGCGCACTTCGCGGTACCACCCACAGAGTGATGGGCTGACCGAGCGCCTGGTGCAAACCCTGAAGCGGGGACTGCGGGCATATGGGGAGAAGAGGAAGCGCGATTGGGATGAGGAGCTGCACTGGATTGCAGCAGGGTACAGGTTTGGGAAACAGGCGGCCCTAAGAGACCACTCTCCATACAGTCTCTTATATGGATGTGAACCGCTGCTGCCGGTGGGAGCAACCCGGGTCCTCATAGACACAGTGACGGTAGGCACCATAGAGAACTGGGTGGCATTGTCAGAGGCCAGGGCAAGGTACCTGCGGGTCATGATGCCGGCTGCCTTGGAGAACCTCCACACAGCACAACTGAGAGATGCTCGGCGCTACGAGCAGCGACAGCAGCAAGGGGCGGGGGGAAGAGCAAAGAAAGGAGTGAGTCAGGGGCAGGAGGTGTACCTGAAACGGGCAAAGCAAGACACCCTGGATGTCGGGGTGGGCTCTGAGCGGTGGAGAGTGAGGCTAGACCACACGGAGAACGGAGAAACAAGGGAGACAGCAGGAGAAGAGTAGGTGAAGGAGAAGACTAAGGGGTAGGAAGAAGGTTCTCCGACAAGCAAGGGGTGGTATCTTCTGCCAAACCGGCTGCGGAAGCAGCTCCACTGCTCTCGTGAACCAGGGATCCAACAAGGTTGTAGCCTCGGGCGTGCGGAAATACTGCTCAAACATCCGCTCCTCTCCTGCCACCCCCATGCGAGCCACATCGCTCACTACCTGGCACCAACCGCATGCGTATGACAGAGGACTGAGGTCAGCTGCCGATCGTATGCCAAAACCCCCCCGTCTGGTAGGCAGATGCAACTGCAGGCGGGCCATGCGCGACTTTTGTGATTCGTGATCCCAGGTACCTGGCGGAAACAGCTCCTCAAAACAATCCCCAAGGCTCGTGTCCCAGTCTCGGAAAGCTTCCACCACCTCTGGCCGTGGAGGCATCGTCTGCGCGAGATAAATCGGACATGCTGACACCGCGATCGCCAACAAATGAGACGCAATCTGAGGGTGGTCAAGCAAAGGAAGCCAAGGTACAGGTGTCTGCAGCTGCATCAGCCGTTCTCGCAGGCAAGCCACCTCCGAATCCTCCTCCCCAATAGAATCCCAACAACAGTGAGTCCTGTCCATGTTTTTTGCATGCCGGGTGGGAGTGTCTCGCTCCTCTCCTCCCCCTCCTCGTCCACCCCTCGCTCCCATAGCTTGCACTTATGCGGCTGCACCTCCAGACCAAGCGCGACCAATCGTTCCCGAATACCCCAAAAGCTGCCAACACCCGCTCCCTGGGCCCAAGGATATACGTATCATTGGCGTAGCTGGGGAAAAGGAGGTCGGCAAATTCCTGCTTGGTCGGTCCATAGCCCGCTGCTGCGTGAAGGCGAACAGAAGTGGCCCCAATGGGTCCCCCTACCTCAAGCCCCACTCGGAAGCCAAAACTTCAATGAAGGGGCCTGCGCGGAGGTAGAGGTCGCTGGGGGTGCCGTAGAAGACTTGCAAGAATGGAATCAATCCCTCTAAAGGCGATCGATGGAGGCCTTCAAACATTTCCCGCCGATGGAAAGAGTTGAAAGCATTCGCCACGTCAATTTGAAGCACGCACCATGACGGGTGAGTAGAGAGGGCAGAACGGAAGGCGTGTGCCAGGACTTCCAATCCCGACTTGGACCCAACTTCGAGCTGATTACACGGAGAGAAATGCGACAACATCTTCGGGCGGAGCACGATACATAGAGCCCTCGATAGTATGCGGGGGAGCACCTCGCCTATGGCCACCGGACGAACGTCACCGTTTGGCTTCGACAGGCCCACAGGGTTGGACGCAGTCAGCCAGGGTCGCACGCGCTCCGCTACCTCTCCCTTGGTCCACTGGGTGAAGACCCCTAGCAGGTGAGGCAGGTATGCAGGCTCGGAGAGAAAAGTGTCGCGCAAGTGCTCCGTCACCCACCCTGATGGTCCTGGTGAAGACGCCCAAGCCGCTGAATGGATAGCCTGTCCGAGTACCTCCACTGAAAGCTCGGGGATGAGGGACGGCTCGACTGTCGTCTCCTGCAACCACTCCGGGATGGCGGTCTCACACGATGGGTGTTTGGCGCATAGCGAGTCCACCATGAGCTGGGAGGGCTGCGCCATGCTACCAGTTGTAAGACACGCCAAGCCCCTACTCAATTCTCCTACTTTGCATCTTGTGCGGCAGCGAGCCAGGCGCACTGCATCGAGGTCATGCTCGGAAGGGGTGAAGGACAATGGAAGAGCCGCTGGATGCATCGCCGCCACCGCCGACTCGAACAACTGCCGCCACTCCCCGGCCCAAAACTTCTCCAATCGCTCCCTAATTGCCGCCCTGTGCCCCTGACCTTGCCCAGTTGGAATCCCCAAAATCAGACAAGGGAACGTCAGGAAGACCAAGGATGCCGCCTTATCTGCTGCCCTCAATTAAAGCCGCTTAAGGACGCAAGAGAGTAAATCAAGCACCCCCAATCTAGCGCGCTATGGGATGCGGCGCATGAGTTTCCCTGGCACCAACTCAATCCCAAAGAACAACTTTCAATCCCATGTATGAACAACTCCCAGTCCCTCCCTTGAATTGGTGGGAGATTGCTGGAAGAAGACTAGATAGATAAGTCGATATGTACTTCAAGACACCCTCGTCACTCATGAGCGCGTAGCACAATGGTTAATACTTTGGTAGGAGTGCAGAAGGCCTGGGCTCAATTCTTGAGAGGAAACTCGGAATTGGAAAAATAGATACACTGCAGGCCCCCAGAAGCATGGCCTCAGAAGTCAGCGAAAAAAGACTGATTTAGGTAAAAATGGCTGAGAGTTCAGACCTCTTCTAGAATTGAGGCAGTTTTTTCAGCAATTTGTTGATTAGAAACAGGAAATTTTATTAGTTTTGTAGTGTAAAATGGCATAAAATGGCATAAAATGGCCGATTTGTCTGATTTTCAGCAAAACATTTTGTACCAACTCTGATTTTTCAGCCTAGGCCAAAATGAATCTGAGGCCCTGCCCAGAAGTCAGAGTTTTTTTTGTCTAATTTGCTTATTTTTTAAGGGTGTACTCTGTAAAATTCATATTTTTTATTGCCTCAACTCTATGAAAATCATATTTTTTTACAAACTGACTCTGACGTTTCAGAGTTTTTTGGAAGTGAACTCTGATGAATTCAGGGTAAAAACGAGTTCTTGACTGGTGATTCGGACTTCACGGGTCACAGCAGATTCGCACTGTCGACGCAAAATCGCCTTGACACAGCAAATCCGCGCCTTACAGCACAAAACTTTTCGCCCAATCATAGCAAAGTCGCGATTCACCAAAGATTCACAACAATTTCGCCCAATCACAAAAAAATCGCGTCAACATTGCAGATTCGCCCTGTCACACCACTAGATTCGCTCTGACAAAAGATTCGCCCAGTCACCACAAGATTCGCGTCTGACATTGCAGATTGGCCGTCAGTGTCAGAATGTTATTCTTATGTTCTAGCCTGTAGTGGGGTGCTCTATAGCGAGTACAACCCTTCTAGGGTTTGCTATTTGTGTCCCCATTTCTGCTAGTTCAACCCTCTTTCTTCTTCTAACTTTTGACAGTCAGAGCATGTTCTCCCAAAATCCCCTTAGTCTAGTTTCGGTAACAGGTCAATAAAACATTGAATACATTTCTGATGAACATTGAATACATTGGTTTCGAATGTTCAGACTTTGTTTTTTAGACACTCTAAATTTACAACCTTTTTTTAATACCAACTCTGAGAGTTTCAGACTAAATCTGTGTACTAGTTGTGGAAAATAGAACGAGAATGAATGCACTATGAAAGAGTTGGGTACAAATAGCAAAACCCTAATTGGGTTGTACCCCCTATGGGATACCCCACTGTAGCCTACACAACAGCATAAGCTACATATATGTTCTGACACTAGTCTGACGAATCAGATAGGCTAAAAACGAATCTGAGGGCCTGGTACACTGACTGCCCAAAGTACACTTCTCAGAAGTTCAGTTTCCTCTGACAAATCGGAGTAGCGCTGATAATGAACCCTGAATATCAGAGTGTCAGATGATTATATTACTGATGCATATATTTAGGCTGTAGTGGGGTAGCCCATAGGGGGTACAACCCAATTAGGGTTGGTACTTGTACTTGTTTCATTCCATAGTGCACTCATTCCTCGCCTCTATCTCAACATGGTATCGAGCAGGTTCCCTAGTGGGAACTGTTCCTAGGGCCCACCTACTATTCCGTCCTGCCCGGAGCGCGCTCTGCCCTAGCCCGAGTCGCGCTGGGCCTTTTTTTTTTTTTCCTTTGGCGGCCCGATCGCGTCGAGCCGCCCGCGAATTTTTGACGCGCCACCTACGCGGCCTCGTCGCGCCGCCCCTAGACGGCCGCGCCGCGTCGCGCGTGCCGCCCTCCAGTCGCGCGCCGCCCCCCTCTGACCCTCGCGACGCCGGCGCCGTCTCTGACGGCCCCGCGATTGCCTGCGACGGCCCCGCCGTCCCCTCTACCGGCCCCTCCGCTGCGCTTGACGGCCCCGCCGTCCCCTCTGCCGGCCCCGCCGCTGCGCTTGACGGCCCCGCCGTCCCCTCTGCCGGCCCCGCCGCTGCACCCGACGGCCCCGCTGTCCCCTCTGCCGGCCCCGCCGCTGCTTCAGACGGCCCCGCCGCTGCACCTGACGGCCCCGCCGTCCCCTCTGACGGCCCCGCCGCTACACCTAACGGCCCCGCCGTCCCCTCTGACGGCCCCGCCACTGCACCTACCGGCCCCGCCGCTACCCCTGACGGCCCCGCTGCTGCATCTGCAGGCCCCGCCATCTCACCTGCCGGCCCCGCTGCTGTACCTGACGGCCCCGCCGCTTCACCTACCGGCCCCGCCACTACCCCTCACGGCCCCGCAGCTGCATCTCCCGGCCCCGCCGCCCCAGCAACTGCGCCGCCCCAGCAGCCGAGCCGCCCCAGCAGCCGAGCCGCCCCAGCAACCGAGCCGCCCCAGCAGCTGAGCCGCCCCAGCAGCCGAGCCGCCCCAGCAGCTGAGCCGCCCGAGCCGCCCGAGCCGCCGAGCCGCCCGAGCCGCCCAGCAGCCGACCCGACGAGCCGCCCGAGCCGCCCGAGCCGCCTGAGCCGCCCGAGCCGCCCGAGCCACCCGAGCCGCCTGCACTGCCCTGTCTGGTGAGCACTGAGCTTTACTCTGCGCACTGCCCTTACCCCACTGCTGTTATGGCTACCCCCAGTGTCCTCACCTTCGACGTTGAGGGCGGAGCCATCGACTTTGACGTGTGGGTAGACGACCTGCTGCTTTTCCTACAGTGCGACAGAGCTGACGGCCTCTCTCTCTTTGATCTCACTTCTGGTGCCTCTCCCGCCCCTCCTGCTACTGAGGATGCCACTGTTCGCTCACAGTGGGCCACACGCGATGCTGCTGCACGTCTTGCTGTGCGTCGCCACCTCCCTCCCTATGAGCGTGCACACTTTGGGTCGTACAAGAGTGCTCAGACCTTGTACGACCCCGTTATTGCACGCTACTCCACCCCTGCCACTGCTGCACTGAGCCGCCTCATGCTACCGTACCTCTTTCCCGACCTTGCTTCTTTTGCCACAGTCGCCGACCTCATTACCCACCTGCGCACTAGTGACGCTCGCTTCCGCGCTGCGCTTCCTGCTGAGTTCTGCGCCAAGAACCCCCCCCCCCAAGTACTTCACTCTCTACTACATTGTCACCCGCCTCACTGACTCCCTCCGCGGAGTCAGGGACGACTTACTCTCAGTCTGCCCCACCACTCTCACTGTTAACCTCCTCGAGAAGTCCCTCCTAGCAGCCGAGAAGAGCATTCTCGCTGTAGGGGCCTCTCGTGGTGACCCGCGCACCCCCATCTTTGAGGGGTGTTCCCCCTCCCCCCTCCTGCCCTCTGTCGCCTCTGCTGCTACGGCCGACCTAGTTGGTTTTGAGTCGGTCGGTGCGGCGTCTGCCCCCAGTGGGAGACGTCGCTCTGGCAAGGGCAAAGGGGGCAGGAGCGGTGGTGGAGGCGGCGGGGGCGGTGGGAGCGGCGGTGGAGGCAGCGGAGGAGGTGGGGGTGGTAGCGGGAGTGGTGTCGGGAGTGGAAGTGTCAGCGGCGGCAGTGGAGGCGGGGGTGGCAGCGGCGGTGGTGGTGGGAGTGGAGGCGGAGGCGGCGGTGGCGGCAGCGACGGTGGGAGTGGCGGTGGCAGCGGAAGTGGTGGCGGCGGCGGCGGAGGAGGCGGCGGAGGAGGTCGTGGCTCGTCGCAGAGGAGTGGCTCCGGTGGCGGTCAGCGCCAACAGCAGCGGCAGCAGCATGGTCAGGAGACCCTCTCCCGGCAGCAGCTCCGTGAGTGGTACGCTGCACGTCAGAGGGGTGGGGGTACTGGTCCGTGCACCTACGTCTTGCGCACGGGCGACCGTGCGGGTGAGCCATGTGGTGGTCCACACCCCGCCCAGCGCTGCTTCGGCCGCCTGACTGACGCTTGGCGCCGCCAGTTTCCTGACGCCTCTGAGATCCCTCGCTGGGACCAGCTGTCTAGGGCAGGAGTAGCTATCTTTGATCTTGACTTTGATGCTATTCTTGCTGCCATGTATGCTGTGACTATTAGTGAGGAGGGTGACTGTTACCGGTGTTTCCCGCCCGACCCGGGCATTGGTACTGCGGCTCTAGGTGCTGTTGAGGCTGCTGCTCCAGGTGCTGGTGAGGCTGTCGCTCTAGGTGCCAGTGAGTCTGTGTCCTCAGGTGCTAGTGAGTCTGCTCTCTCAGGTACTGCTTCGGCTCCGCCCTCTCTCACCTTCACTCTTGACTCAGGAGCGTCTCGCTCCTTCTTTCGAGACCGCACCACACTCACACCGCTTAGTCGGCCAGTGGAAGTCTCCCTGGTGGACCCCTCTAGGGGTCCTGTTCTGGCTCGCTACTCCACTGTCCTTCCGTGCCCTGCGGTCCCATCTGGCTCCCTGTCCGGTCTCTACCTCCCCTCGTTCTCTACGAACTTGGTGGCGGGTGCTGACCTACAGGATGCAGGGGTTGACCAGTTCACCCCTGCGCGCCGACGGGACACCCACTGCACGGACGCGGACACGGGTCGACACTTGACCACGTTCACACGTGGGCCGGGGT